GCCTGCAGCAGCCCCTCCTCCGCCTGCAGCAGCCCCTCCTCCGTCTAGGGCCGCGAGAGCCGCCGTCCCTTTCCGCCACGCTTCATCGGACACCGGGTATCTCCTTTCGATTGTTGTCCCCGCACGCGCAGCAGTATCCTTGTTTAGGTGGGGCAGCTTGTAGGTGTTGTTGCCCTCGTGAAGCAGGGTCTGCTCCATGCAAGCCTGAAGCGAGGTCCACACCTTGCTGAGCTTCGCCGGTTCAGCGGCCTCCCATGCGATCTCGACCTCCCTGTAAAGGTCGTCGATCGTTCTGGCTCTAGTGCGATCCTGCAGGGACTGGATAGACGCGAAGAAGCCCAGGTCCAGGATGTTGGTGTCAGGGCTGTTGGGCGGCTGGTTGATGAGTTGGATGTCGAATCCGTCCGATGAACGCGCCTCCAGCAAATCCCCTCCTCCTCGTTGACACGGTGCGGCTTGGCGTTGTCCTGCTGGGCGTAGATGGTGTTCCGCCGAGTCGCTGCCGGCCACTTCTCCTTGATCGCGGGGATCACGCCGTTGATCAGCTTCTCCTTGTAAGTTTCCCTCGTGACCTCCACACATTTGGTGACCATGGTCCCGGCAGCACGGTTTCGGCTGTTGCGTGCCGCCCGCACCTTCTCCGTGAAGGCCCACAAGCCGATCTTGCCATCGAAAAGGGAGTTGGTGGCCGGGTTGTGCCGCGGGCGAGCAACAGCAGCAAGGAACATGATCTTGGTGATAAACCTCTTGCTCTGGAGCTTGCGGGCAGGGGGCTCCTCACCGTCGTACAAGTAGAACCTCTGCTCATCCTTGAACAAGTAGAACCACTTCTCGTCAATATGGACGAAGTCATCGAAGTCGTGCAGCAGTCTGGCGACGGCATTTCTGCCTGCCCTCACTGTGCGTAGCCACCGCAACACCCACCGCAGCCTTTCTTTCTTGCCCTCAGGGGTGAGGAACGGCTTGAGCGCGCTGTAGTGTGTGCTTTCAAGCCAAGTTTCTCGAGGTTGCGGAACAGCGTTGGCTGGGGAATCCCGAGGGCGGCGGCCAAGCGGCGCTGTGTGGTGCGTTCATTCAGCGGAATGTCCCGCAGGCGGGTACGCAGGTCCTCCAGGTCGATGCGCTTTCTGCCGCTGTTGCCCTTGCGGTTGTTCCCGATGTACGCACTGGGGTCTCCAGCTGCCTCCCGCTGCTCATGCTTCGCCCAAACTCCCTTTATCGTCTTCCAGCTGCACCCGTACTTCTCCGCGGCTTCCTGATACGCACCGTGCCGCAGTACCCCGTCTTCGCTGTTGGCGAGAAGGTGGCGAATCACCTCTTCTCTCTCCAAAACGTTGAAATTCTTGCGTTTCGTCCCTTGAGAGGCACTCCCAGCAGCGGACATGGCTCAACAGCAGTTGGGAAGGTGTTTGACCGGAGCTACAAAGTTGGGGTGGTGAGATCGGGCGCGGTCTGCTGCTGTGGGCTGCACCTTGCTGGTGTGTGTTCAGAAAGACCCCGGTTCTGCGCGTTGCGCAGCAGTGCGGTGGAACCAACAAAAAAAACGGTTCGGGAAAAGAGTTCTGGAGGCCCGAGTTAGACCGCTTTTTGTCCAAACCGCCCTTATATTTAGAATCGTTTCCGTGGGTACCACCATTCGTTCACCTCCGGCGTCAGCAAAATACGGAAACCTACCTGCTACTATGCACCGTTCACGTTGTCGGACTTTTTGTTCGGAAGGGTACGTCGTACAATTTATCTGTCCCGCTCATGGGGAACGTGGCTACACTAGAGTAGTGAAAGAGTGAAATAATCGGGGCTGGGCCTGTATGTACCGCGAGTCCAGTTTCTAGCGGAGCACTGCTGTGTCTCACGAAACACCGACCTCGCTGCGCCAACTGCGGAGGCCCGGACTACCATTGTACCGCCTTCGTCACTGATGGGTGCGACGCCTCCAGTTGTTCTTAATGCTTTATCGCCCGGCACAGCAGAGCTACAGAAAGTCATACAGGGATGAAGAGTGCAGGGCAAACAAACATAGGAAAGTTTAGTATGGAGCAACGTTGTAATATTCGCAAGGGTGGCGTGGGCGCTCCGTGCCCATTACCACTACATCTCTGACGGGAGCACATCCACCTGCTGCTCTGCTGTGTTCGACCCGAGGAAAAAGCATTCAACCTTCCCACCGCATCCGGGTGTCCGCTGTACTCTCTACCGGTAGTTCACGTAGGCTGAAATATGGGAGGGGGGATTCCAGTATTCTTGAGCCCCACGCCCTCCATTCATTCCGTGACGTTGTTGTCCTGCAGCCGCATCATTTCGGGATTCCGCTCTCGTAGCTATGACGGCGGTATTGGTACACGGCATTTGTGGCCAGGTTGTTCTTTGCGAAGATAGACTTGAACTCACTTTGCCGGGTCTCAAGTGACGAGGGGTGCGTTGTTGCTGCGCGGAGCCTCTCAGTCTTTGAAACCAAGGCGTTGGTTCTCCAGTGCACTGCCGATTGTTTCGCCTCTGTGGTGAACCAGCGCACGGATATCCGATCGATCTCTTGCTTGCGGGAGAATGTGATGTACCGTATTCTGCTGTGTTTTGATGCTGCTAGAGATACAAGTGAATGACGACAATTTGCACCCTGAACTGTACCGGTTTTGAGATGATTCGACGTCACCAGTCACGACAAAGCCCGAAAACCAGAGAGTGAATGTGTAAGCCCTAAACATCATTTCTCGTGTGTGCCAGTGTGCCATAAGGTGTGCAGGCGATCGCCGCCATGACGTTGACCAGAATATGAACCACGACATTCGGAGATGGAACTGCTTCGCCAACGCCATGGGATGCTGTTGAGGAAGATAGTGCAAGGGCACCGAACGCTCAGCCATGTTCTCCAGTGCCCACCGCCCCTTTTAGGTCGCTTGGCGGCCGGCCGTGTCGCAACTGGAAAACGTTGAAGGGGCTGACCCGCCAAACTTGAGATTGAGTTTGTTTGGCTGCAGGATGTGTTTGTGTTAGGCGCAGCGGGATGCGTTTTGGGCAGTTGTTGTGTGGAAATGGCTGCTGAGGTTGAAAGACGTTGAAGATACACTACCTCTCATGGCGCGAGACCAACCGGTCACACCCGACATTGAGCTTCTGGGGGTTGTTCATTTTCCCGGAATGAAGCAGAAAATGACGGTGAATCTACGCACATCAGAGGCGTGGTACAAGATACGTACCTGCATCGCTCTTGGACTGCCTAGCTACCTGTGTGAACTCCGGCGGGTTGTTTGAGCCCTTCATTTTGCAGTGTGATTCGCAATTCTGTCTGAACGGTGTACACACAGCAACCCGCGATCAGCATGTGCTTGCCGGCATGTTGGATACCGTAGGGCGATGTGTAGCTTCTAAATTTTCTCACGTCGTCGGGGATTTTCTCACGTTGCCTGTGCGAAGTATGGACACACTACGTTGCAGTACCTGTTTCAAGAAGAGAATATTTGTAGTCGTTTGGACATGTCTACAACCGTTCATGGACGACTTGGATGCTGTTTCTTCCCGACCCTCTCCAAGTTGGTCATCGTTGATTGCATCATGGTTCGAAGTGGCTTCATTCGCAGCTAATAGCATGTTTTGACTGAGATTTTTGTCAGATCAATTTGTGATCGATCCACCTACCACGTCCTTTCCAGTCACATTTTCCTGAAGAGATCGCACTTAGCGGAGCGGTAGCCACCGCGATTTTTCGTCGCAAAGTAGCGACCAGTACAAACCGCGGGGCTTCTATGTGCATACCTGCATAAAGAGTAAAAATAGAAGTACCGAGGACACAACCAAGACAAGTTCACGCAATGTACCAAACAAAACTGTTGTGTGTGTAGATGGATGAATGCAGAAGTCGTACAGCAGTACTGGGTCGAACTGGAATCAATTGTCGTATTTTTTTCTGTGCAGGCTTTCGGCAAGAGATGTACCGTATCGGCATCCGATAGAAAGTAGACAAAATAGACTAGACACACGAAGCTAGCGTGTTGCAGAGTACAGGCGACGGGTGTCTGCTAGTCTAGAATAAAAGAGTTTAACGATAAGTATTTTGTCAATATAGAAAAGATGGTGGGCACCCGCACCTTCTAGACTTGGCAGTGTTTTTTGTTGAAGGAACTCACCCGGACGTGATCAGTCACCCGGACGTGACGTGATCATTTTCATGAACAACCCCGTTCGTTCACGACTCGTCCAACTCGTCCACCTTGCCTGCCCGGCGGTGATTTTTTGGCCCCATCCGCTGGGCAATCGGGCATAAGTGCTGGTGTAACAGCATTCTGCATCCATGAAGGAGATTCCGCAAAATCTCCGTGCGGAAAACGAGCACCATCTCGAGGAGTTCTGCCACTTTGTTCGCTTGCTTCCGTCCGCTGAACGCCTCCTCATGATTTTTTCGCGCTTCACGCGAATAATTTATTTCCGGATAGCGTAACCCCTACCCATCGAATCGGAGCCTCAGTGGCGGTGAGCTCAACAAGCAGTCACAAGACGCTGGGTGTCGGTCTCATTTGCTCAGATTCGCGGGATTGTACGCAGGCCACCACTGCACGACGACGCTCGTATCACCATCGCAGAAGCAGATTTAAGCGCGCCAACACGCACCCCCCGCTGCTGTAGAGTGTCTTCTAGGGATATTAGAACTATGTACCAAGTTCCTAACTTTCACCGACCTTATTTGAGCACCTGCCGTGTTGGCTCGAATTATATATTGATTTCAAAGGAAGCATGTGGACGCAGACGCGTGAACTAAGGTTTTGAGCAGCCTCTGCTTCCGCCCTGTGGGAGAATCAACGATTTCTGTTTTTCGCGATGCCTTCCTACTTGTCTTGTGTGTCTCTTGCGCGTTTGCTGGTGCTCTTGCGTTTGTTTCCAAAAGTACTCAACAAACTTCGTGTTCTGCCATCCCTTAACCAAGAGGTCGCGATCTTTTTTGAGTTGGTGATTCGTTTCCACCGGGCGTTGCAAACGCGGTATTTACGTCGTTTCTATGAATGATGCTGGGTGTTCGAGGTTGGAATAAATTGGTATGAGGTCGAGGTGGAAGAAACTCGGTTCGATAGAAGACACTGCCGACCTGATGAATAAACTCGTATTGTTGAGCGCATTGCGCCAGTTGTTGTATGGTGTCGCATATGTTGTTAATTCTAAGATATATTTTGTGTTGTTGGGGTTTGGTCCTGCCTGCGTTTCGTCACTATGCGCGACATGAAGCAAATGGGTGCTGCCAATGCGCTTAATGGAACGGGTAAGGAAGATGAAGTTAAGGAAGAAACCATACAAAAGACGATTGGAGCTTGCGAATAAGGCAAGATTTCATCGTCGTATATGGTCTGTCGGACAAAACGGTTTTGTTTTTGTCTCTATCCGCAGGAGTACTATACACAATGCAGATGGTGTTTTGTGATGTCTCCTTTTTTATCATCAATGGTCGTTCTGAAGGGTCAGACGTTTATCCTCGATACAACTGAACATTTCAATGAGGAATTCATTCGCCAAGGGACCACGGGGTTCCCGTACCAACAACTGTGTTACCCATTGTGCAAGGGTAGTTCTCTTCCCAGTGGTGCTTTTCAAGGCAACGTGCCAGCCGGATGCTCCGCCTTCTGGGCGAAGCAATGGAAAGGTGAAGGGAAAATAGTCTCTGTTGCAAGTGGGGATGGCGTTTTTCTCGCCAGTAAGCGTCCTGGTCACTGTTTTTCTGTGAAGTGGCAGGTCACAGTTTTTCTGTCACGTGGCATGCCACCTTTGGCGCGTGTATCGACGGCCATTACTTCCGCAGAAGGAGCTCCAGAGGACAAAAACGCCAAAGAGTTGGATAGGGTCCTGGATCGCGGCCTCGGGTGACAGACGTGAAAACCAAGAGGTGCTACGGGTCTGATACTTGAAGTAATTCGATCAGTGTGACTGAAGAGCATAGTGCATCGGATACCAAACATATGTAGGTGTTTAATAATGAATAAAACATCTATCTGTGTTTGTTGCACATCGCACGCACGGGTCGCTCATTGTGGCTTGCAGGCGGCCAATATTCGGCGAAACCTGTCGTAGAGCCGTTCGAATGTTTACCATGGTGCCTTCACCGAGTTGGCCGTAGACGTAATTTGGATCGTGCATCAACCATTGAACTTTGGAATGCACACATTCTTTCAATGGGTGGTAAGTCCTGAAATTCATGCATGGGTGTATGGGGATGGAAAGGACAAATCGATAAATAAATGTATTCGATATCGGGAAACCATGTTGTTCGGCAGACCGGCGCGCCGCGCCGTGTATTGACTACGTTGACGATGTACAAAGTAGAACTAGAGCACCGTAACTCGCCTTCCTTGGACGGACAAGAGATGGTCACCCAGTATCCTTTTTGTTCTCCGCGTCTCCGACATTAGTTGACGCAAGGTTGGAACGGCAAATATACGCCCGAGATTCGTAGCGAATTTTTGCGCGGATGGATGAGAGGATATGTGGAGGTCTTGAGGAATGGATGGCAGGGTGGTAGTCGTGGAAGGACACACCTTCCATTTTTGCAGCATATCCCTCTAGGCTCCTTGGCGAACAACGTAGGTCCACAAGTCGCTCGAAACTGCAGCATCGCATGAATACATGCCTGGAAGCTGTGCAAGTCGACGAGTTTCCACTACCTTCCAGTGACAAACACATCAACGGTCGCAAAACCCGTGTGCTGCTCAGCAGAGGGAGCGCAGAGCGAGGCTGTGTCTATCATACAGTATCGCGATATACGCGATACATATCTGGGTGGTTGGCTGTACCTCCGACGCTGATAGGTTGTGTCATTGCTTGTCGTGGATTTCAGCCGCGACCTGGAATGACACGCCGGCGGAAGGGCGCATTACTTCTGTACAGCAGTGGCAAGCTGTGTGGATCGTGCAATCACCGTTTTGACATCAACGCCGACCTCGGGGGTTTGTACACGCATGTCTTCAAAAATTTAAAAAAGCGTCAAGAAAATTGTAGAAAACAATCCTTCATTTGTTTCTAGTAGTGTGTCCGACAATGACATTCCCACAAAAATATAGTTTCCTTGATATGATTCCACGTAGATACCGGTAGAGAGATCTATGGAGGCAGCCCGCCACGAAAGCATGCATATTAGGAATTTCAGCATCGTTTACACACAGACTACAATGGTTCCCACATCGATTTCGTACACTTGTGCAGTTTTCTTCCATCGTTTTTGCCTCTGGCCTTGGTGGAATATTGGCTTGCCGAATGTTCTGTTCGCGGATGACGCAGCCAAGATCGTGTTTCAGAAGGTATTGCTTCCATGAGTACATGCTGTAGTTCTACAACCTCAACACGGATGGCTGCTGTCAGAGAGGCACGCACGCGACACGGCACTTTCTCTATTCTCATAGTGAATGGCATGGTTGTACTCCTCTCTGTCACCCTTGCATGTACCCGTGTCCCCATGCCCTGTGTGAGCCCCACACGTGGACTCACCTTCACTGCTGCGTCATCCGCGCGCCATGGGTCGATTTGGGGGGGAGGGGGTAGCTGGATGGGGTGGGGTTGTCCAAATCGGTGGCCCTTTTTAGTTCCGCCCTCTAAAACCCTTTATCATCCTAACCTGAGAGCAATCTCTCAACGATCGACCGCAAACTGTTGTCAAACGTGTTGTGCCACATGACGAGCTGAGAATTAGTAACATCGCCGTTGTATCGTTCATAATAATGGAGTAGGCGGAAACTCATCCGATCGATGTGTGCGGTAAACGAGCCGCGACAGCTAGACGCAGCCCCAGTGGGTCTTTTGTGGGGTGCTGCCGATTCTTGAAAACTCAACAACGAGAGCGTCCTATGACCTCCCGGTCTCAATCAACCACCACACAAGACTAAGAACGCACCATACGCAAAGCTCGTGGGGGATAGCTTTGCCACTGAAGTTGCTTCAGCCGGTAGCAGAGACATCACTGACATGAAAAACCGGTGACGCTGGCAAGAACCTTGCCTCCAGAGGGACTCTCCATTTTCCCGCATGTATTTGACCTCTGCTAGCGGTGTCAATTTCTGAGTCTGCCTTAGCTGTCCGATATCCATCAACCACCGCACAAGACGCCACCACACGCCCAGATCGTGGGGCGATAACATTGCCGTTGCTGTCGCTTCAGCAGGTGCTGGGGAAGGATCACCGGCATGGCAAACCAATCACAGTAGGTTCGAGAGAATCGGCATATTGTTCGCGTGTTCTTGCCCCTCGCCACCTCGATTTCACCATGCCTTTTATCTTCTTGCGGTCTCAATCAACCATCACACAAGACGCAGCGATCACTCAGCTCATGGGAAATGACGTTACCTTCGCTCTTGCTTCCGTCTGTGCCATGATGTCACCGAAACCCACGTAGGCGGAAACGTGCTGATTTTCCTGACTTCGTTGATGGCGGCAGTTCGTTAACGCTGTTCGCGCTTTCCTATTAACGACGGGTCTGTGATTACTGCATCAAGCCTCAGCGTAATAAGAGCGCAACCTGTAATGTGATCTCCCCTCTTCTGGTTTGCTTCCTGCTGGACAGGTCTGCGCACGAATTGACACCTACACCGTGATGGAGGGAGATGTAGGCTCGGGTTCCGCAAGTCCTGGTGAGAAAAGGTCTCGACTGATGCGAGAGCTATTTTTCGATTGTTCCTCCTTCACGCCGATGGGATTCGAGAAACACCGTATGTACGTCTGTTTTTTTTGCTTCCGTTCGGTCGTCTGTGCGCTTGTTCTTCGACAAGCAGTGCTGGTTGTGCGCATACAATCGTCGCGTCATGCTTGTGCAGCTGGAACGGTTCGTCTGCGGGTCTTTTTGTTCTTCTCGGGGATGCTGCCCAATGAATGATGGTTTCGTCTGTACGCAATTTCGCCCCAAACTCCTCAGTTCCGAACAATATACCTGGTATGTAGTTTTTGGCAACAATACCCACGGCGAACTAAGCTATAGCTTTGTCAAGTACTTGAGGCTGCTTTCTTGTCTCCATGGCCACCTCACTCGCATTTTTCTCATGATTCGTGACGGTCAAAGTGGGTGGTGTTTGGAGGTGTTCGTGCTACTGCATTTGGTTCGACGCGACTACTACACCCTTCCCCTCATACCGCGTAATTTCGCAGCAATAATGTTAATGTGTTCGAATATGTTGTGACACGCCGTTGTTCATGTTCATGCCTGTGCAGCATGTGTCTGGCTACGCTCTCTTCGATGGTGATATGCTGCGGACAGCTCAAACAAGAGTGTGTTGTTGCAATGGAGGATAGACCACGCGCATCACTCGATCCAGCATCCTGTGAATACATGTCCTTCGGCAGAGATGTTATCTGGTCACCAAGTAGATGTAACCCCTGGAAAAATTATCTTAGGCACGTTTCTATTGTCACAAAGGGGGAATCATAGGAACACTTGACTCCTACTTTTGATAACGAAGGATACCCTTGGACCATAGCTTGGAAACAAATGGAAACGCCCTCGGAGCAGATCTCTGTGTTCAGACCTGCATGGACAGGATTCGTGTCCAACGTTTGATCTCAGGAGGCGACGAATCCTAAACCAGCAATATTCATTTGCAATACAACGCCAAATTGATGTGTCGGCAGACAAATGGGGTTTGGCCGTGGCGACGGGAGACGCGACCAAGCTAGCCGAGCTTGTGCTGGTTTGGTCCGGTTCAAGGCCCGAGGCGGCTCTGTCTCTTCTCAGGGAATGCGTCTTATTGTTGGAGGAGGAGGCTGCGTTTTCAGTTCCAGATTCTTCTCCCCTTCAATCGCCCTCTTGCACCCTTGGTGAGTTCCGTTTGACGTATAGACGTAGTGACTTCATTGCATTCTGACCTAGTTGTGGAGACGCTTCAAGTCTTGCTGTTGGATGGGAACTGGATCATGTGCGCGTCGGCTCGCGCCTAGCTGCCAGCGATACGTTTTTGGCCAAGAGTGTGACTCTTACGCCGGCCTTCACATGGGAACAAACGCGTGTGGGTCCGTCTTTGGATGTTTCGTCGCGTCTTGGGGTGTGGTAATTCGGCATGTCGGCAACATTCTACCTCCTGCTTTGTGAAAGATTGTTTTCCGGGGTTCAGTTGAATGCCCAGTATGGGGGTTCGACCTTTATCGTTCGACACGACGAAGACCCGATCGCCAGTTGGTGCGAAGAAGGTACCACGGCGTGATGAAAACTGATCATGGTGCGCTCCCCCCCCCGCAGCCTACTATTAGGTGGTGAAAATTTGAACAGTTTCGCCAGGTTCTCGTGCACAAGGACAACAACAATTTATGCACCCTTGTCCTAGCGACAGATATGCACACCCATTCGGCAGCCGACGCCAGCTGTGCACGTCTGCGTCTTCGTCGCAGCGTGTGCAGGTCAAACGTTCAACCTTATCATCGACACTCGCTGGTATTCGTCGTGAAGATGTGGATTGGGTGTTCAAGGGACATAGCAGCGTCGCGCACGACTGAGGTCTGCTCGAAACAGGTCCCTCCATGTTTCAATTTTTGCAAAATGGAGTAAAATTTTATCGATCCTTCCACAAGCAGGAAATAATCGTGTCGTCAGCTTAACTCGTTTCTTTGGGTAGAATGATCCTACAATCACCTCACTTGCACATCGAAGGAGGCCAATCGGTGAAGGTATGCATAGCATCATGGAAGATCTCACTTCAAAGCGTCAACTATTGCGTGAGGGATGTGTGTTCTCTAATTCAATATACGATGACGCACATTTTCAGAAGCCAGACCGAAACAACGAGCATGTTTTTTTTCATGCGCTTGGATTGGTTCTCTCCGATGCCAGCGCCGATAGTGTCGACACGGTTTTGTTCCAGGGTGCTTTCGAGGCCTTCACGAGTCTAACGCGCGTCCATATTACACAATGTTGCGGACCGCAAGGTTCAAGCCTTTCCGGCTAGCTTGCACGCTAGCTGCACTCCTCAAAACATTTATCGTTCTGCCCGTCGGAGGAAAAATCTTGGGCCAATTTGGCCTGGACAAGATTTTGGCGAACAGGGAAGGAGTTGACCCTTGCCAAGGTTTTCACGTTGAACCGGAAGTGTCCCTCATAGAATCGGAGCCGGTTCGGCAAATCTTGCAGCAAAATATCAAGGTTTCGACCCTTCAGATTCCGTCCCGATGTACATATAATAGTCTACTGCGACCTAGCTTGGTTTGGTAGTTCGCGACAATTTTCTGACTCGCCATCCTTGCTGATCTAGTCTGCTTTGCTCTGGCACGTGTAGGTGGTCAAAAATTCTTAAAGAGGCTTGCTGGTTGGTGCCTAGTCCCTTGTTTCTGTCTCAACGTATGACCCTGGAGAGAAACGTAGTCGGGGCTACAGCTCCCCTTACAGAAACCCTTGCGGTTGAAACTTCTAAGTAGGTGTTAGAGTTCAACGGTTGCTATGGTTGTGACTGTCGTTCTGGTCTCTGCGCTTTCATGACTTTCCGGCATTTGCTTTGTACTTTTGTAAGTTTGTGCATAGAGCGGCACACCACGCACCAATGGCCTTTTAGACCGTGCCATTTTTGTTGAATAATAAGAATGTTATATGAGTGGGGCGATTTTGACGTATCTCTCCCAATTGCATCATGCCCGTGGTACTGTTTCGGAAGTATCCTTATCCTTTCGCAGGGTAAATGGTTTCCATTGACGCGATTTAGTGCCTCAGCTTGTAATACTGTACGCCGACACATCATTTGTTCTCCGGTCAGGACCCACGCGCAGCTCGTGCTTGAAGACCCTCACGGTTGCTTTGAACGAGACATGCGACGGGAAGAGTTGGTACACGTCCACCAAAGAGCTGCAGCTGGCATCCTTGGAGCTCTGCATGGCGTGCAGACACTATCAGACATTGCACTTGACAGTCGACGCACACACACCACGCAGGCTGCTCGCTGCTGCGGATGCCCCCTCCCCGCATCCGAAGCGGCTGTGTGGGACACGCGTGCCGCGGCTGAGAGCGCGTCGCGCAACGTGGAACGTCCCGACAGCATCGGGAATGAGAACCTCGATCTTTGCAACTATGGACGTGGACTACTTGGAGTTCGGCCAAGCCTTTCACGGAAGCCTTGACGCTATTGTATGGCCACGACGGCTGAAAACGATTGAGTTTCGACAGTCGTCGCCGCTCAACCGGCTGCTTGACGGCGTTTCATGGCCAGCTTCGCTTAGGAAAGTCTGCTTAGGACACGATTTCAACCAACCCATTGAGAGAATGTCTTGGCCAGATTCATTGCAGGAGCTCAACTTTCGAGGGAAATTCAACCAGCCCATTGAAGGCGTGTCATGGCCAGATTCGTTACAGAAGCTCACGTTCAGCTTTTGTTTCAACCAGCCCATTGAGGGCGCATCGTGGCCAGATTCATTGCAGGAAATAAAATTTGGACATGAATTCAACCAGGTCATTGAAGGGACATCATGGCCAGATTCGCTGCAGGAACTCAAGTTTGGACACGGCTTCGACCAGCCCATTGTGCGAAGTACATGGCCAGATTCGCTCCGGAGGCTGCGTTTCGGAGGCCAATTTGACCAGAACATTGTCGAAGTTACGTGGTCATCTTCACTTCTGAGGCTGTCTTTCGGAACAAATTTCAACCAGCCTGTCGAGAGGGTGTCATGGCCAGATTCATTACGCGAGCTCCGCTTTGGAGCGAAATTCAACCAGGCAATTGAGGGAGTGTCATGGCCGAATGGATTGCAGCAGCTGAGCTTCGGATGGCGATTCGACCAGCCTGTTCAGGGCGTGTCATGGCCGGATTCACTTCAGGAGCTGAGTTTCGGACATGAGTTTAATCAGCTCATTGACGGGGCATCATGGCCAGATTCGTTGCGGAAGCTCAGTTTTGGATCGCGATTCAACCTGCCCATCCAGGGGGTTTCATGGCCAGATGCGCTGCAGAATCTGAGTTTCGGCGATCAATTTAACCAACCGATCGAGGAAGTCTGTTGGCCGGCGTCGCTTCGCTATCTTATGATCGGGCGTGGATTCAAGCAGGGTACCACAGGAGTGAAGTGGCCTCCCGGGTTTGAAAGCTTGAAGTGTGCACGATCCATGCGGTGACACTGACATGCGTTGGGTCACATATTAAAGGTACTTGTATGCGTTGCTTTCTGCCCGTGCAACAAACCGTGCTTTCTTGATTGCGTGCTCGCATGGTCGGCGTGGATCCCGAAATTGTTGATGTTCTCTGGCGCAGCGCGTGGTACGGTGTTGGCTCCGTCCCAACAGCCGTTTACAACGCGGTGGTGCGTTTGACTTGCACTGTTCGTAATAACTTGTAGACGTGGCTCCGTGAGTACCGGACCAATCCAAGCGATGGCGTGTGCTCAAGTTGGAACGGGTAGAGAAGTTGTTTTAACTCCGCTCAATATTGCAGGACATGAGGGGCACCAATGTGAACGGATAATGCAGGCCATCAGAATGTGTTTGAAAATTCGTCAATCTTCATGTGGTTTTCGTGGGTGCAAACCGTACGCATTGGAGTGTCGTGAGAGCGCATTAGAGAACAGGAGCATAGCGCGAGGGCTGTTTTCAGAACTGGTGACGTTGGAGGCCCAGTTTTGGTTCTCTGGTTGGCAATGCACAGAGCTTGCCACGAACACGTTGGAAACGATCTCTGCGCTCTACATCCATTGTTTGGTCATTTGCATCTACACAATACCACCCTCTCTGCACCGAAAGGGCTCTATTGCTGTTGTCTCCGCCCCCGGGAACATGGAGCATCGGTTGGTCCCTGCCATAGCATTTGGCCGTTTCCAACTAAACACTTCCCTACACAGTGGATGGTTTACCACGGAGAGGACATACTGTACGGTGTAGCGTGTAGTCACTTCCTTAACACAGCGGACCGTTTCATGGAAGGCGCACATCAGACAGGATCTCGGGCTTGTGCGCCAGCTCTGCTGCATGGTGATATGGTTGGATTGTACGATGCGCTGTGGGCTACCGATCCGAAACATGCCAGCCTTTCACACCCATCCTGTCTCTGCCTTGAACGAACCTGAATTTTGTAAAAAGCAAAGAGTGCATTACTGTAGATTGGATGAACCGTCCTGCGGCGGCCCGTCATCCCGCCGACTTCGGCCGATCAATGGTTTCATCTTCGACTTGCACAATTTTCCTGTTGTGACCCTTCAGAAATCGAGTCACGCCAACTTTCACACCCAGGCGGGAAAATCGAATCAGCTGGTTACGAATGGTAACGTGCCGACCTCGCTCGGTGAAAAGCGATTTGGTTGGCTGCGACACGCACGCCTACACACGTGCAGGAGAAAATGAGAGTGGGGGCTTCCTGAATTCAATGAGGTATTGTACGGCCGTTGGCAGAACAGTCGCTAGCGCTTCACCGGAGACCTGAAATCGACAAATCTCGGTCAACCTACAGTAGAAGGTAGGTCATTGTCACCCGACCCGAGAAGCCATTTGTCGCAGAGGAGGTCTCCCAAGTAGATGCTCGAATAGGCACTCCTCGTCGCGCGTAACGCTGGCATCGACATGCCGGGGGTTCCTGGGCGCGTTTCCGTGGGGCGGCATTACCAACCGGGACACTACACGAGTTGCACGGGCGGACGACGGCGCACGCGGTGGTGCGGGTGAGTATGCTGGGAAGCTAATCCCGGGTAGGGCAGATGTCACAGCGCAATGTAGGCATCCAATCGCCACTCTACACCAGTTTGAGGGATAGCTTTACACTCCGACATCAAAGAGTCAAAGTTGAATTCACTCGGCGACAATCTGGTGGAGAAGCGAAGATTGCCTGTTCGGCCCATTCTATTAGTATGGTCGATGCGAAACCAGGCAAACGTTTAACGTGGTGACGGTTCTACGGCTTTCGGCACGAGGAATAAGTGGTCTTGATGGTGCAAGACGCAAATACTTGATACCTCCAGCAAACTGGTTACTTCATAACACGCGACATTTTTTTGGGTACTTCGCTTTGTGTGACGGTGGCTGTTGTTGCTATCTCTCGCACCAAGGCTCAGCTGCTGTTCCCTGTCAAACGAGACTCTGACTCATTATAACCTCCCCCAGTCGGAAGGCACCCCCCAATCTAGACTTCAGGGGGTTGGCGCTGTTGGCAACGCGCTGTAAAACACGCCACCCCAAATATAGCCCCCATAGTATGCGCTACCAAAGACGCGTGACGCATGGATGCGTGGAGTGAGGATTGCTTACGAAAACCTCACAGGTTGAGTGATGTAGGAGATTGCCGGACACATAGACGTGTTGAGTGATTATAGCTGTATACTGAAACCCCACGGAAAGGGGAGGTTTGAGATTGCCAGACACATAGACGGGTTGCGTGGGGATAGCTGCTGGAACCCCACGGGTTGAGTGATGTTGGAGTGCCGGACACATAGACGCGTTGAATGAGGAT